AAAATATGTCTATTTTATCTCTTCTTTTTTTGTGGTTCTCCTAATATTACAATATAATTTATATACTTTAGTGAATGTTTTGACAAACATATATAGTTATATAACAAGGGCCATAATGAAAATGTAGAACAGTTCTATGGCTCCTCAAATTTTCCTGTGCCTATTTATAGTCAAGCATCCCTCAGTCCCTGCCCCAGGCAATTCAGAGTCTGGTTTTGGTCCCTATAGATTTGCCTTTTCCAAAAATTCATGTAAGTGGACTCATGTAGTATGTGGACTTTTGAGTCTAGCTTCTATCCTTTAGTACTATATATTTGTTATTCAGCCAAATCGTCCCTTGTATCAAGAGTTTGTATTTTATTATTTGGTGAGTAGTGTTCTATTTTATGGATAATACTTTTCTTATCAATCCATAAGAGATCAATTGTGAATAATATATCAATGCTATCATGCATGTCCTTATACGAATATAATTTGTCATTTTGTTTGAATGAGTGAATAAGATTTATGAGTCTTATGATAAATATATTTTATTTTATTATGCTCTGTTGCTTCAGTCATGTCCAACTTTTTGTGATCCCCAAGGACTATAGTATATCAGGATCCTCTGTCCATGGGATTCTCCAGGCAAGAACACTGGAGTGGGTTGCTATTTCCTTCTTGAGGGGATCTTCCCAACCCAGAGATTGAAACCACATCTCCTGCAATGGTGGGCAGATTCTTTACTTTATGAAGCACTATCAAGTGTTTTCCAAATTAAATGAAGTGTTTCACATTCCCACCAAAAATGTCCCAGAGTCACAATGCTATTCTACACCCATACCAGCATTCTCACCAGAAGTTGGTATTGTCACATTTTTAAAAAATTGAATTTTAATCATTCTAGTTGGTATGCTATAATATTAATATTTAGTGGTTTTAAGTTTTTCTAAAACCAAATAATATTGAGAATTTCTTCATGTGTTATTTGCCAAAAGTATATCTTCTTTGTTACTTTATCTATCCACATATTTTGCCAATTTTAAGCTGGGATATTTATAGTCCAATTACTGAGTTAGAGATTTATTGATATACCATAGATGCAGTCACTTTAGGAAATGAATCATTTCTAAATATTCTGTACATATGTGAGACTGGTGGTTTCATTTATCTTTTTCTTGTTTTCTTTATTTGGATTGTATTTTTGAAGTTGTATCTGCTGAATTCTTGCCTAGTCTAAGATCAAAAATTTTTTCTACTTCTAGGACTTATAAAGATTTAAGTTTTACTTCTAAATCTAGGATCAATTTATAATTTAATTTTTTCTTCCAAATGAATCAATAAAAAATATTTATATATTGCCCAGGATGTTTACATAAGAATTTTTACCAGTGTTTTTATAATATCAAAATTACAAAGCATTTAAAATAACCTATTTTAATAAGCAATTAAAACAAGTAACAAGGATGAATTTTCCAAGCATATTTTGGAAAAAATATCTGAAAGGGAACACATATAATATGTAACCAGTGAATATAGAAATTTTGGTGTTATTCAGTTGCTTAGTTGTGTAAGACTCCTTGTAACCCTAAGGATTTCAGCTTGCCAGGCTTCACTGCCCTTCACTATCTCCCAGAGTTTGCTGCAACTCACATTCACTGAGTCAATGATACCTTTCAGCCATCTCATTATCTGTCACGTCCTAGTCCTCAATCCCTCAATCTTTCCCAGATCAGGGTCTATTACAATTAGTCAGCTTTTAACATCAGGTGGCCGAAGTATTGGAGCTTCAGCATCAATCCTTCCAAAGAATATTCAGGACTGATTTCCTTTGCAATAGACTGGTTTGATCTCCTTGCTGTCCAAGGGACTCTCAGCAGTCTTCTGCAACACCACATTTCAAAAGCATCAGTTCTTTGGCACACAGCTTTCTTTATAGTCTGACTCTCACATCCATACATGACTACTGGAAAGACCATAGCTTTGGGTATATGGACCTTCATCAGCAAGGGGATGTCTCTGCTTTTTATTACACTATCTAGGTTTGTCATAACTTTTCTTCCAAGGATCAAGTGTCTTTTAATTTCCTGATTGCACTCACCACCTGCAGTGATTTTGGAGACCAAGAAAATAAAGTCTGTCTCTGTTTCCATTGTTTCCGCTTCTATTTGCCATTAAGTGATGGGACCAAATGCCATAATCTTAGTTTTTTGAATATTGAGTTTTAAGCTGGTGTTTTCACTCTCCTCTTTCACCTTTATCAAGAGGCTCTTTAGTTTCTCTGGTATTCCCATCTCTTTAAGAATTTTCCACAATTTGTTGTTATCCACACAGTCAAAGAGAATTAAAATATTCCAAACATCTTTATATATCAATAAAAGTACAGATAAATGAATCAGGAATATAAGCTATTAATTAAGGGTACTATTTTATTCTGAAAATAAGAGAGTAGAATAAAATAGGAAATGTGTACACAAAGATTACAACTATATTGGAAATGTTTGTTGCTTTAGATCTTTCATGGATATGTAGAGACTCATTATATTACTTTATAAAATTTTAAGTGATACAAGTTTTTTCTTTTAAGTGATTTAAAATTTATAATTTTAAGTGATATAAAGCATTAAAAAGAAATTAATCACATATAATACATTTTAACAATTATAAAGTTAGCTTTCATTAGTATCACTTTTATTCAAGTACAATATTCTAGGAAAAAAAGCTTATAAAGGAAAAATAAAGCAAACTTATAAAAGTTAATAATTTCTCATATTTTGTCATCCAAAGAACCTAAACCTAAATATCTATAAAGCATATGGAAATTAATTTGGATGAAAATTCAATGTTTCTGTTATTTGGTCTCTTTTATATGTAACTAGTATCTAAAAGTTTTTAGTAATGAAAGAAAATATATATTATCTTAAATTCTCTTGACATGTTTATTAATATTTGATATTCAGTTCAGTTCAGTCACTCAGTCATGTCTGACTCTTTGCGACAAGATGAACTGCAGCATGCCAGGCTTCCATTTCCATCACCAGCTCCCAGAATTGCTCAAACTCATGTCCACGGAGATGGTGATGCCATCCAACCATCTCATCCTCTGTCGTCTCTTTCTCCTCCTGCCTTCGGTCTTTGTCAGCATCAGGAACTTTTTCCAATGAGTCAGCTCTTCGCATCAGGTGGCCAAAGTATTGGAACTTCAGCTTCAACATCAGTCCTTCCAATGGATATTCAGGGTTGATTTCCTTAACGATTAAGAAGTTGGATCTCCTTGCAGTCCAAGGGACTCTAAAGAGTATTCAATACCACAGTTCAAAAGCTTCAATTCTTCAGCACATCAGCTTCCTTTACTGCCCAACTCTCACATCCATACATGACTACTGGAAAAACCATAGTTTTAACTAGATGGACCTTTGTCGGCAAAGTAACGTTTCTGCTTTTTAATATGTTGTTTAGCTTGGCTATAGCTTTTAACCCAAGGAGCAAGCATCTTTTAATTTCATGGCTGCAGTTGCCGTCTGCAGTCATTTTGGAGCGCAAGAAAATAAAACTCTGCCACTGTTTCCATTGTTTCCCCATCTATTTGCCATGAACTATGGGACCCTGGTAGCTCAGAGGTTAAAGTGTCTGCCCGCAATGCGGGAGACCTGGGTTCGATCCCTGGGTCGGGAATATCCCCTGGAGAAGGAACTGGCAACCCACTCCAGTATTCTTGTGTAGAGAATCCCATGGTTGGAGAAGCCTGATGGGCTACAGTCCACTGTGTCACAAAGAGTCAGACACGACTGAGCGACTTCACTTTCACTTTCATGGGACCAGATGCCATGATCTTTGTTTTTAATGTTGAGTTTTAAGCCAGTTTTTTTCAAGCTCCTCTTTTACTTTCATCAAGAGGCTCTTTAGTTCCTCTTTGCTATCTGCCATAAAGGTGGTATCATCTGCATATCTGATGTCATTGATGTTTCTCCTGGCAATCTTGATTCCAGCCTGTGCTTCATCCAACCTGACATTTTGCATGTCTTACTCTGCATATAAGTTAAATAAACAGACTGACAATATATAGACTTGACGTACTCTTTTCCCAATTTGAAATCAGTCCATTGTTCCATGTCCAGTTCTAACTGTTGCTTNCCCCAAAAATAAGATTCCACCAAAAAAAAATAAATAAATAAAACAATTGCTCATGAAAATCTTTTACCTCTTTATGGAGTATTATATAAAAGATAAGATAAATTTTGATATTTCATTATGAGCTTTTGATAAAGTTAATTGCTTCCTTCATCACTGCCTATGAGAATGAGAGCTATCAGTTTTCTTTTTTTTTTTCTTTCTTTTTTTTTTTTTTTAAGTCATCTGTATTTGTTACAACTTTTTAAAGCAGAATGTGACTTGAGCACTACATTTCCATTCACAAAACTTGCTCCAAGTTACTTTTCCAGCGGCTTTACAACATGCCTGAGCAGGTTTATAAGTTTGCTACTCTAAACATTTTTCTTTGGAAAACAAGCCCTATGTATGGACAGCGACTCCAAGTTGGTTCAGCTTAACACACTAACTTCTAGAGGCCTGGCACATGCAGTCATAACTACAGGGGATGGAAGTTTTAAAAAGTATATCTCAGAAGATGAAAACTTGCTTTAACAAGTGTTTCTTTTAAACATCACGGTATATACTTCAGAACACTTCAGTGACAGAAAATTTTGGTCTACTAAAGAATCCGCTTGGTAGCTAAACACTTCAGACCACAAAGTTAACACAGGTTACATACACACCTTACAACAAACTACTTCCATCTGTTAAAAGAAGCCAACATAAAACTAGGAAAAAACAACTAGCTCTGCTTCAGTGCTAAAAGTATCACAGTATCCCACTTAGTATAAAGAAATCCTATCCTCCCCTTATGTAGTTACCATGACATATAGAATTTTAAATGTTAACAAAAATAAATACTTGAAAACATATTAGAGGGAATGGAGACAGAGTGCTGAACACATAGCCAAGGGATCCTCAGGCAGCACTTAGTCTACTTCTTCCATGCGGGACGTGTCATCATCTCCTTCCAGGGGAGGCATTTCCTCAGTGACCGTAGCACTGCTGTCATCAGCAGTGGGGTCATCCTCATCAATACCGAGACCATGTTTGACCATCCTGTAGATCCTGTTGGCATGTGTCTGGGGATCCTCTAGACTGAAGCCAGAAGACAGGAGAGCTGTTTTGTACAGCAGGATGATCAGATCCTTCACAGACTTGCCATTCTTGTCAGCCTCTGCCTTTTGCCTCAAGGTCTCAATGATGGAATGGTCAGGGTTGATCTCCAGGTGCTTCTGGGCTGCCGAGTAACCCACCGTTGAGTTGTCTCTCAGGGCTTGAGCCTTCATGATCTGTTCCACATTTGCTGTCCAGTCATATGTGCTTCTGACAGTGCAGCATGGGGATGTCACCAACCAGTTACACACACAACCACCTTTTCAACTTTCCTCTCCAAAATGTCCTTCATGATTTTGCAGAGGTTTTCAAATTTTGTCTTTTTCTCTTCTTGTTTCTTTTTCTCTTCCTCATCTTCTGGAAGTTCCAGGCCCTCCTTGGTGACTGACACTAAGGTCTTCCCCTCAAACTCCTCAGCTGCTGCACACAGTACTCATCAACAGGCTCGATCATGTAGATCACTTCCAAGCCATGCTTCCAGAGATGCTCCACAAAGGCCGAGTTGGCTACCTGGTCCTTCATCTCACCTGTGATGTAATAGATGTGTTTCTGGTTTTCCTTCATTCTTCTGCAATAGTCCTTGAGAAAAACCATCTTATCACCAGAAGCAGAGGTATAGTACTTCAACAGCCCTGAAAGCTGCTTCCGATTCTGAGAATCTTCATGTATTCCAAGCTTAATATTTTTAGAGAACTGCTCATAAAACTTCTTGTAGTTCTCTTTATTTTCTGCCAGTTCAGTGAAGAGTTCAAGTACTTTTTGACCAAATTCTTCCTGATAACTTTCAAAATTTTGCTTTGTTGCAACATCTCACGGGAAATGTTCAGAGGGAGATCCTCAGAGTCCACCACACCTCTAATGAAATCTGAAAAACAGACCAAATGCAGTCACTCCAAAGACAAAAACTGACAAATTTGTGAAATCTGAAGAACAGACCAAATGCAGTCACTCCAAAAACTGACAAATTTGTGAAGCCGAAAAACCAAAGACGAATGATCTCCCCCCATGTTTAGTTTAAAAACCAGGAGCTGACAGGATGAATCTCTGACCAGTAGCAGTGACATCCAACTATACTTACTCAGGTATTCAGGGATTAGCTCCTCACAGTTATCCATGATGAAAACTCTGAGAACATACAACTTAATGTTGTTCTTCTTCTTTCTGTTTTCAAACAGGTCAAAGGGAGCTCGTCTTGAGACAAAAAGAAGGGCTCTGAATTCCAACTGTCCTTCAACTGAAAAATGCTTGACTGCCAAGTGATCCTCCCAATCATTGGTCAGGCTCTTGTGGAACTCTCCGTACTCCTCATTAGTGATGTCATCAGGATTTCTGGTCCAGATAGGCTTTGTCTTGTTTAGCTCTTCTTGATTGATGTACTTCTCCTTGATCTTCTTCTTCTTGTCCCCGTCCTTCTTCTCTTCCTCCTCCTCATCTGAGCCAATGTCTTCTATCTCAGGCTTGTCATCAGACTCCTTTTCTTCTTTCTCCTTCTCTTCCTCTTTGTCTTCCTTCTCTTCTGCCTCATCATCACTAACTTCTTTATCATGTTCCTTCTCCACAAAAAGAGTGATGGGATAGCCAATGAACTGAGAATGCTTCTTCACAATCTCCTTTATTCTCCATTCCTCCAGGTACTCAGTCTGGTCTTCTTTCAGATGCATAATAACCTTTGTTCCACGCCCCATGGGTTCTCCTATATCAGTCCTCACTGTGAAGGACCCTCCTGCAGAAGACTCCCAGGCGTACTGCTCGTCATCCTTAGGTTTGGTGATAATGGTCACTTTCTCAGCCACCAAATAGGCTGAATAAAACCCGACACCAAACTGGCCAGTCATGGCCAGTTTGCAAAGCTTCCATGAACGCTTTGGTCCCAGACTTGGCGATGGTGCCCAGGTTGTTAATCAAATCGGCCTTGGTCATCTCAATGCCGGTGTCCACGATGGTGAGGGTTCGATCTTGCTTGTTCGATATGACATTAATGTGCAGCTCTTTCCCAGAGTCTAACTTACTGGGATCGGTCAAGCTCTCATACCTGATCTTGTCCAGGGCATTGGACGAGTTTGAAATCAGCTCCCTCAGGAAAATCTCCTTATTCAAGTAGAAAGTGTTGGTGATCAGTGACATCAACTGGGCAATTTCCACCTGGAAGGTGAACGTCTCCACCTCCTCCTCCTACATCGGCTGGTCCTGAGCCTGTGTCTCCTCGGGCATTTTGGCTGAAGGACTAGAAAGGGCTCCGCAGTGATGCAGCACTAGGACACAGAGGCAACTCTCTCCTTTACTTTTAACTTCTTTACTCAGCTGTTTTTATATCCTCCTCAGAAAACCATTGTGTCTTTTTATTTCTTGGAGATTGTCTTGATCACCACCTTCTGTACAATGTCACGAACCTGCATCATAGTTCTTTGGACACTCTATCAAATCTAATCTCTTGAATCTATTTGTCACTTCCACTGTACAATTGTAAGGGATTTGATTTAGGTCATACCTAAATGGTTTTGGTTTCCCCTACTTTCTTCAGTTTAAGTCTGAATTTTGCAATAAGGAGTTCATGATCTGAATTACTGTCAGCTCCCAGTCTTGCTTTTGCTGACTGTATAGAGCTTCTCCATTTTCGGCTGCAAAGAAAATAATCAGTCTGATTTCGGTATTGACCATCTGGTGACATCCATATGTAGAGTTGTCTCTTGTGTTGTTTTAAGAGGATAGCTGCTATAACAAGTGTGTTCTCTTGGCAACACTCTGTTAGGATTTGTCCTGCTTCATTTTGTACTCCAAGGCCAAATTTTCCTGTTACTCCAGGTATTTCTTGACATTGTACTGTTTCATTCTAGTCCCCTATGATATAAAGGAAGTATTTTTTGGTGTTAGTTCTCGAAAGTCTTATAGGTCTTCATAGTACCATTCAACTTCAGCTATTACAATATTGTAGTGGTTTTTGTAATACATTGACATGAATCAGCCATGGATATACATGTATTCCCCATCCCGATCCCCGCTCCCACCTCCCTCTCCACCCCATCCCTCTAGGTCTTCCCAGTGCACCAGGTCCGAGAACTTGTCTCATGCATCCAACCTGGGCTGGTGATCTGTTTCACCCTAGATAATATACATGTTTCGATGCTGTTCTCTTGTAACATCCTACCCTCACCTTCTCCCACAGAGTCCACAAGTCTGTTCTATACATCTGTGTCTCTTTTTCCGTTTTGCATATAGGGTTATTGTTACCATCTTTCTAAATTCCATATATGTGTGTTAGTCACTTGTTCACTCTTGCTGTCTCCTGTTTGACCACTTCCAATTTTCCTTGATTCATGGACCTAATATTCCAGGTTCCTATGCAATATTGCTTTTTATAGCATTGAACTTTACTTCCATCACCAGTCATATTCACAACTGGGTTTTGTTTTCACTTTATCTCTGTCCCTTCATTTTTTCTTCAGTTATATCTCCACTCTTCTCCAGTAGCATATTGGGCACCTACTGACCTGGGGAGTTTATCTTTCATTGTCATACTATTTGCCTTTTCATACTGTTCATGGGGTTTTCAAGGCAAGATTACTGAAGTGGTTTGCCATTCCCTTCTCCAATGGACCACATTTGTCAGAACTCTCCACCATGACCTGGCCATCTTGGGTGACCCTACAGGGCATGGCTCACAGTTTCATTGAGTTAGACAGGCTGTGATCCATGGGATCAGTTTGGTTAGTTGTATCTGACTGTGGTTTTTATTTGTCTGCCCTCTGTTGTATGAGGATAAGAGGCTTGTGGAAGCTTTTGTTGTAAAATTAAATTTAAAATTATGAGCAGTTGTTATCATGAGTGAGAATGACATTAATAGCATTATATTCTGAGTTTTATTTTCAGCGAGACATAAATGACTTCAGGTGGTTTATTGATAATTGTAATCTAAATGTGCTTTGGTTACTGAAGACATTTAATTCTGCAAGTATTTATAAGAAATTAATGAACAGATATTTTAATTTACTGGAAAGAGTCAGCCAATGAGAGACTTGTCACACCCAGCCAGTGAAAAACCATTGACCTTTTGTTCACTATAGCCCTCCCATCTTACCTCTCCCCTCTATAAAAGAGTCCTGTTTATTTCTGCTGGACACTTGCACTTGGCTTACCAGAGTTAATGATCCTCCTAACTGGAATTCTTTGCAGACTGTGAAAAAACACATTTTTCTTTTTTGCTGAAGAAACAACTGCCAGTCATTGGTTTTAAACATGCTGTGCTTAGTCGCTCAGTCATGTCTGACTCTTTGTAATCCCATGGTCTGCAGCCATGCCAGGCTCCTCTGTCCATGGGGACTCTCCAGGCAAAGATACCGGAGTGGGTTGCCATGCCCTCCTCCAGGGGATCTTCCCAACCCAGGGATCAAACCCTTGTCTCCTGCATTGCAGGTGAATTCTTTCCCATCTGAGTCACCAGGAAAACTCTTTAAACATGGTAAAACATTTAAATTACCAACAAAAGTCATCTTTTCAGTGGCAAATTAGTAATATAACTTCATGCAAACATAATAGTCCTTCAGTTAGATCTCCTAAGTTGAGAGCAGGCTGGCCAGAGGGAGTTAAAAATAGATAAGCTAATGACAGCTCTACCTTGATTGCAGTGACTTTGTTTTATTGATTAATGATAGCAACTAGGATAATTGAATCATCACAGAGTAATGATCATCTGAGTCTATCACTGTTGTAGTTTCTTAGAAGTATGAGGTTTTCCTACACCTATAAGGAAATACTTTTATTGTATAGCAACAAATACAAGTTTTAAAATAATTAAGTATCAAAATGAAAGTAATTTAATTTTTAGACTTGATATTTGAGATGTAGACAAACGTCTTCTTAAACCATTTTAAAAATTGAATTGTTGGTAATTTCAGTTCAGTTCAGTCACTCAGTCATGTCTGACTCTTTGCAACCCCATGGACTGCAGCAAGCCAGGCCTCCCTGTCCAACACCAACTCCCAGAGTTTACTCAAATTCATGTCCATTGATTCAGTAATGCCATCCAACCATCTTATCCTCTGTCATCCCCTTCTCCTCCTGCCTTCAGTCTTTCCCAGCAACAGGGTCTTTTCAAATGAGTCAGTTCTTTGCATCAGGTGGCCAAAGTATTGGAGTTTCAGCTTCAACATCAGTCCTTTCAATGAATAGTCAGGACTGATTTCCTTTAGGATGGACTCGTTGGATCTCCTTGCAGTCCAAGGGACTCTCAAGAGTCTTCTCCAACACCACAGTTCAAAGCATCAGTTCTTTGGTGCTCAGCTTTCTTTACAGTCCAACTCTCACATCCATACATGACCACTCCAAAAATCATAGCTTTGACTAGATGGACCTTTGTTGAAAATATACCTTGTGTTAATATGTATGTCTAAGTGATTGATGTTCCTTTCCATTATAAGTTGTTATAAAATATTGAATATAGCTTCCTATGCTATTCAGTATGTCCTTGTTTATTTTATATATAGTAGTAGTATGTATGGAGAAGGAAATGGCACCCCATTTCAGTATTCTTGCCTAGAGAATCCTGTGGACAGAGTAGCCTGGTGGGCTGCCGTCTATGGGGTTGCACAGAGTCGGAAACAACTGAAGTGACTTAGCAGAAGTATGTGTATGCTAATCCCAGGCTTCCCAGGTAGCTCAATGGTAAAGAATCTGCCTGCAATGCAGGAGACACAGGTTTGATTCCTGGGTCAGGAAGATCCCCTTGAGAAGGAAATGACAACGCACTCCAGTATTCTTTCTTGGGAAATCCAATGGACAGAGGAGCCTGGTGGGCTACAGTCCATGGGGTCACAGAGTCAGATAGGAGGTAGCAACTAAGCAAGTATACTTGCATATGCTAATCCCAAATCCTAATATTTCTCCCCCACCCCTTGCTGTCCCTTTGGTAACCAGAAGTTTGTCTTAAATGTCTGTGAGTCTAGTTTTGTTTTGTAAATAGGTTCATTTGTATCATTTAAAAAATATATTTATAAGTCATATCACAATATTTGTCTCTGTCTGACATACTTCACTTAATAGGATCATCTCTAAATCCATCCATGTTCCTGCAAATGACATCATTTCATTATTTTATGGATGAGTAATATTTTATTGTGTGCATATATGCATGTGTGTGTAAAGATTTTCTTTATCCATTCACCAGTTGATGGACATTTAGGCTGCTTCCATGTCTTTACTATTGGAAATAATGCTGCAATGAATATGGGGGTGCATGTATTTTAAAAGTTTATTTTTAATTGGAGGATACTTGCTTTACAATTTTGTATTGGTTTCTGCCATGCAACTATATGAATCAGCCATAAGTATGCATATATCCCCTCCCCCTGGAGCCCCCCTCCCACCTACTCCCATCCCAAAGAGCACTGGGCTGAGCTCCGTGAACTGCACAGCAACTTCCCACTAGCTAGCTATTTTACAAATGGTAGTGTACATGTATCATTGCAACACTCTCCATTCATCCCACCTCTCCTTCCCCTGCTTTGTCCAGAAGTCCACTCTCTATGTCTGCATTTATATTCCTGCCACAAAATATCACTGTTATTTTTCTAGATTCTATATAAATATATGCATCAGTATATTTGCTTTTCTCTTTCGAATTTACTTCAATCTGTATAACAGGCTCTAGCTTAACCCACCTCATCTCAACTGACTCAAATTTGTTCCTTTTTATGTCTGAATAATATTTCATTGTGTGCATATATATATATGTGTGTGTGTGTGTGTGTGTGTGTGTGTATACCACAACATAACAGGCTCTAGCTTAACCCACCTCATCTCAACTGACTCAAATTTGTTCCTTTTTATGTCTGAATAATATTTCATTGTGTGCATATATATATATATGTGTGTGTGTATGTGTGTGTGTGTGTGTGTGTGTATACCACAACATATTTATCCATTCATCTTTTGATGGACATCTAAGTTGCTTCCAAGCCCTGGCTAATGTAAATAGGGCTGCAGTGAACATTGGAGTACATGTATCTTTTGAATTATGGTTGTCTCAGATTGTATGCCCAGTAGGCATTTGCACAAAGGAAACTATAAACAAGATTAAAAGACAGTGCTAAAATGGAAGAAAATAATTGCAAATAAAGCAAATGACAAATAATTAATTTCAAAAATATACAAGTACCTCATGCAGCTAAGTATCAGAAAAAGAAATAACCCAGTCAAAAAATGGGCAGAAGACCTAA